CCAAAATTTCGGCCTTAAATTTTTTTATATACATATAATGAGAAAAAATTTTCGAAGTATTACTAATAAAATTATTTAAGAAGCTGGTGCTAAAATTTTAGAATAAGCAAAATTTTGTAATAACAATATTTGCCTAAAGATAATAAATACATATTTCCCTAGATTCAATAAATGATTAGACAGATATTATTTCGGTAAATTTATTATAGATAAATAAATTTTAATATTTCAATAAAATGATTTATGCATTTCATGCAACAATTTCACTAATCTTCAAAGCAGCGACTGCTTCAATTTCATATTATTAAGACTGTTTTATCATTTTTATATTTTCTCTTTTTGCTTGCGCTCAATCACCTTTTGGCTTTTTAAGTTCTATTTGCATAATCATAAGTATATTTGCATAGCGTTTCATTATCAGACTCATCAGCATTTTCCCAAAGATTCTCTGCTTATTGCATTCCAATGCACACTAATCAAACATGAATTTCCATTTCAATCAATCAAATAATGGCAGATTGCTTACCTGTGCACGAGCAGGCGTGCAGGGTAAGAATTGCAGCTGTATGTCGGTATATGTGGCTATATATGTATGTATATCTGTGTGTGGCTGTAGAATGATTGGCTGACTGATTACTTTACTGCTAATATAAATGTGCAGTAACGTAAGTGTATATATGTATGTATATGGAACTGTTTATATACATATATATATGTTTATATATGTATACGTGTGTATACTCTCCCGTTGATGCATCTTAGGAATTATGCTTCACACTGATGCTTAAAATGCAGCCCCCCAACCAAGACTGCACTCAGTGCTTGCGTGTGAAGATTGAAAAATGGTGAATGCATGAGTTCAGTAGTGCAAAATAATTATTGGAAATCGAGTTGGTAATCAATCACTCGACTCATACAATGATTCTGCGAATTCATTATTCCACAAATAGATCATGTGTCACGCAAGCAAGTCGGATTGCATGCTCAAAGTACCAAATATGGGGCACGATTGTTAGGATATGTAATGCAGTATATTGTATAAATATTTTGAGAATATAGAATTTCAAAATTTGCGAAGAAATTTGCATTTTGTTTTACTCGCATTGGAGCGAAATGTGAATTTCTGTTTATTATATTTTGCTATTCGGCATTTCAGAGGATAAAGTGACTCCCTTTCAAAATTCACTAAAATTTCAATGGTATTTAAAATATTTGTAAGAAGTAAAGCGATAACAACGTTTACCAGTAAATTCAAGCTAAAATTTAAATAAATTAATTTAAATTAATTTAAATTATTTTAAATGAAATGAAATTTAATTATTTTAAATGAAATTAAATTAATTATAATATGCAATTAATTTTCTCTTTGAATCACCTTTTATAGATGGTGCCTACACAACAGCTCTCAAAGCTATCGAATCTTACGTATTTGTCGCTAAGCGGTAATCGGTTTACACAGCTGCCCGCGGTTGCTTTCATGAACCTGTTTCATTTACGTGAATTGCACTTAAATCGCTTGGATCATCTCAATCGTATAGATTCAAGGTAAGTCACAAAAAAAAATTTTTTAAAACTAATCTTTTTAAACTAAACTTTAAAACTAAACTTGTATAAATAAATCAAAGATCTATAACTACATAATGTCACTTAAAATGCATAAAAATGTAACAGCACTTTCATAAGTTTACAGGCAAAGGAAAAGCAATATAATAGCAACCCATATATTGGATCAAAATTTGAATTTTGGTTATAAAATGGTTATATTCTGGTTATTATATCTGACAACGATTTTAAATTTTTTTTCGATGATAACAACGATACAAAAGCAACCACTAATATTTGAGAAAAAAATTAGAGCTTCTGTTATAAATTGGTTATATATCGGTTATATATTGGTTATATCTGATAACGTGAGGTTAAAATTTTATGGCACACGTATGTAAGGTGATAAAGTTAATCATAAGGAATAAAAACTCAATTTCGATTTTTTTATGATACGTAGTTTTACATTGCATTTGACGAAAATTATATTTAAGATATGAATTTGCCATAGCAATACTTAAATATTGTGTGTTTCTGGCATTATGTGGATTACAACCTAAAAATAACTGCATGAGAGTATGAAACAAGCCGACTTTGGTTAATGCGAACTGTAATCCAAGCAAGACTGGTTTGAAAGTCTAGACTATAAGGCGGATGAGGAAAACTTTTTCAGCTGCCGTTTTCCAAATAACTTTTAACTTGTCTTGCAACATGTGGACGCGCATTGTCGTGAGGAAAAGTTAGGGCATCGTATTGGGACAGGGATTACATTACCTCAATCATGCCCAGCAGACTCCTGGAATTTTTCAAGTTGCTGACCATATGTGATAAAGAGGAGGACACAATAGTGCCATTGCAAAGACTCAATTTTACTATYTATCTATCTAACTTCCACCAAAATACGATGACTTTTGTTTCAACTTTTACTCATGTGAAAGAAATGAAAAAAAATTCTTGCAGAAAACCTTTTCGGGCTCAAAACATATGTCAAACTTGAAAAAAGAAAAATAATAATTGTTGTTTACACTTCAAATGAGTGACCTATACTGAGAAAGGCCTGTAAAGTAGCTTTATAATGGTCGTTTTGAAACTAAGCTTACCATTCAAGCATTTTTTTAAGTAAATTAAGTTTTGTTATAAACTTCTAAAGAATTTTGACACTATATTAAGTTAAATTATTATCTCAATCCAACTTCTTAGCAACTTAGGCCGCATACAAATAAAAAATATTATAATTTTCTAGAAGAAATAAGAGTGAAAATAATTATCTTCATGTCCAGTAGTATAGTATATAAGATAAGCATATATAACATGTACCGTATAAATAAGCTCGAATTCCTCCTTGTATGATACATAAATGGAAATATTTTTACCGATTCCCGAAATATGGTGTGCCGGCTCGAATTCCGCTTGGGGAGTACAGGGCCGCTTACAAATAGAGTCACATTGTAATTATGTTTCTTCGTAAAGCGACTTAACAGGCGCCTGTTAATTTGTCGTTTGTCGTCGATCTGAACATGAATGTCCATCACTTTACCGCCTTTGGACCTTTATTGTGTTACTGTCATCATTTCAACGCTCGTTATGTGCACTGAACATGTCGCAACCACATGTAGATGAACCAAAGGATCAATAATACATGTAGTAATGCATTTAACTATTTTCTATTACAATATAGAAGTAAAACAGTACTACATAAGTAGTTTGTAGTTTGTATATGCGGCTGCTGACGAGAAATCAAGCAATCAAATCATGTAAATAATTCAATAATTTCTTTGGGGTGTAATTTTCATATGAAAACACAAAAGAAAAAGCGTACGAGTGCAAGCAAAATCAATACATATATACTCACTTACGCTGACTACATGAATATACATACATATGCATATATAATGTGGCAAATACTCATGAAATGCATATGCGCGGCAAGTCAGCGAGCGTCTTCAAGTGTTTTGGATTGGTTATGACTTTATTGAGACACACACACACACACACACACACACCAATATAAACAGCTGAAGCGCGATTTGACTGTATTTGATTTGATAACTTGCCACACCGCCACCAATGCCACGCTAACCGAATGCTTTGATACATAAACCGTTTGCTCAATCAGCTGCCAATGTTCAGCCTCATACTCATGCCAATACACACACTCTCTTTCTATATTTAACCGCTCCTTTCGAGCTGTATAGCCATCCGCCAACACCCATCATATTACGTCTAATTTCTGTGGCGCGTACTGATGCATCCCAAGTTGATTTGCGATTAAGTCATGTGCATGATTGTTTGTCTGCCTTTGCTACGCAAACAACTGGCGCATATACACACACATGCCAGGAAATATTTTCATATGCTAATGTGCTTATAAACACAAACCATTTTCTCACATATCAAGCATGCTAGCGTTTCGTTTCTTCGTTTGTCTGCATACCGTTTGCCAGCTGTCTATCAGTCATCGTCCTTCAAATCCTAACTAAATGATATGCCTATACATACATATATAAAAAGCCTTGGCCTTGCCATCGCAACATTGACACTCCGCGCACTCGGTTCAATGTATCTTAATGTGCATTTTCGCCTCAGCGCATTTCGCTCTGTGTATACGAATTTAGCTAGCGTTGGAATATTTAATTTTCCTTTGCGCCTGCTGATATGTTAAACATCCTTTGGGTAATATTACAGCATATAGCAGGTAATATTGTTATATTACGACTGTTTGCAGTCAGCTGTCAACAAATGATGGGCATATAAATGGTTACATGACGGTTTTGGTATGTTTCATCACTGGTAATTGAAATGTGCGCTCGTTTATGGTTGTGTAATGAGACGAGAAGTATGAAAGTTTTGATCTTTAAATAACTTGCTTGGGAAAATTATTATTGAAGTTATTCAAATATGTGGAAAATAATAGGTTGTCAAAAAAGTCTTGCGGTATTTTTTATTTTTTATTTTTATTTTTATTTATTTTTTTTTTTATAACGGTTTGATGACTCATGCCCAGCTCTTGACCGATGCTACGGCTGCTACTATGCCGGTCTCTTTTGACCAATTCAGCGATTTTATCGCAATTTTCGACGACAGGCCTTCCGGAGCGTGGCGCATCTTCGACCACCTCTATACCAGAACGAAAACTTTGAAACCAGCATTGTGCGGTGGAAATGGAAACTGTATCGGGTCCATAAACTGCACAAATTTTATTGGCGGCTTGAGATGCATTTTTGCCTTTATCGATGTAGTACTGTAAAATATGCCGTATTTTCTCTTAATTTCGCTCCATGTTAGCGACGCTATAACTCTCGAACGACTTAAAAGAAACGACAATCAATCAAACACGTGTTAGCGCATGAAATGAGCTTTCCAAAAAGGTATAGCATGACCCGGTGCGTGGAATAAAACTAGAACTCAGCGATAACTAGCGAAAATACCGCAAGACTTTTTTGACAACCTAATATACAAAAAAATTTGTTTAAGTTATATTATAAGTGCGAAGATTTCTGTATTTATGAGCGTTAAAATTTGTGATATACTTTTTTTTACTTATAAATATTTTTCTTGATATTTTATGGTTCATACCTAGGGTTACCATATCGATGCCAGTCAAAATCAGTCCCGTTGCATTTTTCACGAAAATCAGGGAATCAGTGCCGAAGATTAAAATTAATGAATTCCCTGACAATTCAGGGAATGGTAATGGTATATTTTTTTAAAATTACATTTTCAGAATTTAATTCTATTTTTTATGAAATTTTACAATTTACACATTTGAAAATTATGATTTTTTTTTTTTTTTTTTTTTTTTTTTTATTTTCATTTTTTTTTTTTTTTTTTTACAAAATATATTGCCGCTATCGGGAAATATATAATATATCGTCACCATGTAAAACAACTTACCATCAAAAAAACCGAAATTGAGTTTTTTATTGCTCACGATTCGCTACATCACATTACATATATGTGGCACATTATTTTCAGCTTACGTTGTCAGATATAACCAAAATATAACCAATATATTACTAATATATAACCTTTTTATAACCAATATATTTCAAATATATAACCTTTTTATAACCAATTTATTACTAATATATCACTAATTTATAACCAAAACTCGAATATCGTTTGAATACGAGTGATTTTTATTATATCGTTTTCCTTCGCCTGTTAACTTGTGATAAGTGATGTTATGTTATTTTGCATTTTAGGTGACGATATAGAGATTACTATTAAAAAAATTATATTCGCTCCCTTCATACAAGATGTGTCATGCAGTTTTACTCTGTTTCCTTTGAACAAACTCAATGTTACTTTTTCATTCCTATGATGAGTATTCATCCTTTAGAATGTCTGCACTTGACGTGAGTTTTATCAGACTCTGCGGCCTGAGATGCTTGTAGCGTAGTCTTGTCTTATACACTTGTTTCGCATTGGCAAGACTACACCATACTGCATTGTTTTCCCAATTACTCTTCTCTCGATATTTTTCACAGTCTTCTTGAGCTGTCAATTCCATTTTGCGGGTGTGTGTCGCCACCAGTGACCAGTTAGTGTTCCTATCATTTTCTACAAACTATTCTATCGAGTGGCAATAGGAAATATGTGTACTTCCGATCAAATATTTTACATATTACTTTTGCAGTGTTGCACCCCCCCGGTAGCTTGTTCTGTCGGTTTTAGATTTCCTTCATCACGCTTCTATCGGGATCGTCTTATAGATAATACGTGGCTTTCCCAATATTGATCACGTTTTCGGTTGTTAGCCGTACATCATTCCTGGCAGTCTCGTTCGTTTTTTTATTGCCCTCGATGCCTTTGTGGCCAGGTATAAGTGAAGTTGTTTACTGCTGCCGCGCTTCTCAATTTCAAACCGATATGCGATATGAGGTTACTGCCGTGATTGCTGCTTGGCTGTCTACATAGATGTAGACTCTGGAAACTGCAGGTTCATTAGAGGCAAGCTCCGTGGCTTTCGCAATGGCAAAGATCTCTGATTGAAATATAAA